AAAAGTCTTATAAAAAGATTATTCTTTCGAATTTGTTGTAATCGAACAAAGTTATAATGAATTCCTCAATAGAACCAACTTTTGAACCAAACAAGCTGGCGACCACAGTGGGAGCCAGCGGTCTCGCTGCCGAGACCGTGGTGTCGCAACCGATCAAGATCATCGTCAACGAAGAGATCGAATACGAATTCGATCAGGCGAAATTTAAGGAGTACTTGTCATCCTCATCATCAAAACTTTCCTCACCCCGCAAATGTAGGAAAGTTTCATTTTCCAGAAAAAAGCTCAAGTCTGCAGTGTTAATGAAGACCGCAGGTGAAAGTTCTTGCCCGGATGTTGCTAAAGAATCTACCTGCAACATCTCTGCTCCGAACGACTCCACACCCATTCAGGAGTCGATGATGAATAGCTCGCCGGTGCTGACGAAGAGAGCTCGTCAAAGACAGCGCCAGCGCCGTGCTCGACAATTGGCTAAAGCCATGCAACAAACCGACGGGGTCCATTACTATGCGGACCTAGAGTCGAGGAGACAGAAAATGACTCAGTTGCCTCAACGGCAAGATAATCATATTTCTGCACAACTTACGACGGAGGAGTGGACTCTCGTCAAAAGGGCCCGTTCAACCCTTAAGGAACGGATACAAAGGCGTAAAGCGAAGGCCGCCCATGCTCGTGCTCTTCGTCAACAAGCCCAAGGAACCAAGAAAGAGACGGTGTCTGAAAAGCCACCGAAGAATCGTAAAGTTTGGATGCCGAAGACGCCACAAACATCTGTTCCGGGCCCGTCTACTGCATCAGCAGTAAAACCCTGGGTTAGCCCAAATTTGTCCAAGTTTAAGATAACAATGGCGGATCACCTCGGTCCTACAGTTGACAATCGAGGCAAAGCCCCGGCCAAAGAACAACCAAGTCCAGCAAATAAACCTGACCAATAAAGGAAAGCAAAAGTCAGTTAACTACGACCCTGATTTCTCTCCGGGAGGGAGAGTTGAGCGAGGTCTTTCTCAGAGAATGTCGCGGTTACAGAGACGAGCCAACCTACGTCGAGACTACAAGAGAATGCATGAGGGGCTCTTGTCGGATGAAGAAATGTCAGATACTTGTTCTGCCATTGCATCGGACGATACCGCGTCCAGTGTTGGGCGAGTCAGAGAATCGTTTGCGATCACGCCGTATCAACTGACTCACATACTGCAGGAAGCGTTGGCTAAACAACGCGAAGAAATCAGAGCTGAATTCAAAACCGAAATGGAGTTGACTATGCAGCAGATGCGAGACTTGCAGGTTCAGCAACACCAACCAGAGTCGAGCCAGAAGGCGGAATCCAGCCGGCGTAATGAAGAGGATGAGACTATCTTTGACGATCCTCCTCCAGATAAAGACAACTCCGGAAGCGATCCGACCAAGTCAGCCACTCAACCTCCACAGATCTACTTGAAGAAAAGTGAGGAAGAGGATAAGAAGATGCATGATCTCGAGAGCAAAGTCAACGCTCTGATGACGGCTCAGGAAGTGAAGAAAACGGGCATTCCATACCCGTACCCGAGGGAGTGGGACCTGATTCCTTATCCCCAGAAATTTAATTTGATTAACTTTACTCCTTTTGATGGCAGGGGTTCACCAACTCAGCACTTGATCTATTTCAAGTCGCATCTCGGCGTAATATCCGGGAACGAAGCCCTGATGGTTCGGTCATTCGTAGGAACCCTTCGCGGGCCTGCCTTCGATTGGTACCGACGCCTTAAGCCCGGGAGTATCACTAGCTGGGAGAGTATGGAAGAACTATTCCTCACCAATTTCTTCGACGATGACACAGAGGTGTCAATTGGCACGTTGTTGGATGAGAAGCAGAAAGATGGGGAGTCGGTCGACGTCTTTGTCAAACGATTCCGGGACAAAGCGGTGAACTGTAGAGATCCACTCACAGAAGAGTTCATCCTACAGACATGTCACAACAACTTGTCATTGGATGTATTAGAGGTCATGGGGGTTGTGCCCTCTAAAACTTGGAAAGAATTGAAGGTGAGAGGTGAACAGGCTGAACGCTTTCTCAAAAGGAAAAACTTGGAAAGAGGTCTGCCACCAGCTAATAATCAAAAGCAGAAAACTTTAATCCTCGAGGCAGAGGAAGAGGATCCACGGCAGCTGTAGATGCACATCAAACATCGCAACATCCGCCGCAACAACAACCGCAGCAGTCATCCTTCCAACTGGCGCCAAATCAGAATCAGCAGCCCCCTAGGCAGCCCAAGACTTCTGAGCCTAGATTTCCGAAGGAATACTCTTTCAAAGATGATGAAGTTCCAGTCATCTTCAAATACTTGTTAGAGAATAACAAGATCAAGCTTCCACCGGTCACAAACCAAGAAGAAGCAATGAAGATTAATGACCCGAAGTATTGTGCCTATCACAGGAGGGTCCACCATCCGACTAAGACGTGTTATGTCTTAAAAGACAAAATACAAACCTTAATCGATGTTGGCATCGTAACACCGAAGCCGAACGAGAAGAAAGTAGGTGCGAATGCGGTGTCTATCAGCTTCGGGTCAGCTCCTTTGTCCTGGTTTCAAGCCGAGCCAGTGTCGAAGGTCAAGGTGCAAACCATTAATGATGACCCTTACGGACAGCGCCAAAAGGGGCTTATAACTCACACAACCCCCAACGGCGAAATCCTTTGGGTTCATCCAGATTTACTGGAAGATGAACAGTGGACAACATCCACATCAAAGAAGAAATCAAAGGGCAAGGGAAAAGAAAAATCTTGTTACGGAGCCTCGGCGATTCCCGAGAAGAACGATGAAGAGATAGCAGCTTTATCACTTTCTGATGGAGAACAGGAAGTTTTCGCTACAAGAAGTGAGAATGAGTATCATTATAAATATCCTGAGACCTCTGACCCAAATGCTACAACTCTAAAAGAGCTGGGGATAGCTACAACTCCTCCAATAGCTGCTGAAAAGCCGCAACAACCGGCTAAGCAAAAAGAGAAAGAACCCCAACATAAAGAGGTTCAAATTCCGAAGCAGTCTCGTTTCAGCCGACCGATTGGACGAGATAAACCGGAAAGCTCGAACACACCATATCGTTTCGACGTTATGGCTCAGCTGGCCAATATCCCAGCAAGGATTACGTTATACGAGTTGTTGCGCCTTTCAAAAGAAACCAGAGAAGCTTTACAAGAAGCTCTGGCTGATTCTGAAGTATTCCTAACTCAGATCAAGCCAACTCCTGAAAAGCCAGAGTCATCAGTGCAGCATTGCAATCTGGCAGCCACCAAATTTCCTTGCAT